TGAGGTCCGCACACATGACCAGTTTATGATATACGCAGCCATTTCATTTATGATGAATTGATTGGTGCTTTTGAAAGTGCGGTTCATTTCTTCACTAACGTTGCTGCTTGCTGGTTCTAATACGATAGTAAGGTGTTGGTGTTGTCCTTAAACTCTTTCATGAAATTTCATTGTAACTTTGAATGTCCAAAAAGCGATATTTAGCGTTTGTTAGGTCGCTACTAATCGCGACTACACCACACGGCAAGTATCACTTTGTGGGGAGTGTAGTTCACTGCTTGGGTTGTACGCTACCCATTTCTTCTTGGCTGTAGTTCTGGTGCTATACTTGTGCGAGGAATGAAAACACTAATTTGGTGCCTGGGTAAACTATCGACTGTCATTGCACGGGCCAAATAATACCAGACTCCTCAGTTTAAATGACCTTTAGTAACATGTATAAGTTGGTGCAGTGGAATGGTAGAGTAGTAATGTTGAGCGTTGAGTTCGATTCGGATTGGCCAATGCACCAAATGTGTTAGTTGTTGCAATGGAATATAGGGCTTCAGGTCAGTCTTCGACACAGAAAAATTACTAAGTCGAAGTAGAATGCTCGACTTTATGCGAATTTGCCACGCCGGACTTCTTGACATAAACATGGATAACAATCTCAAGCTGGGGTATAACTGTTTATAGCGATAACAACAGTACAATATGCACAATTTGACGATGGTTAGTTGAGCGAACGGGCACGGGCGAAATTGAAATAAGGGTGGGAGAAACACTTGAAAGCTGGGCAAAACAATGGAACACTGGAGCTGGGACATTGTGAGAGTGGAGCACCGGAATCCGGAGACACTGGAGCACTAACTCCATGACTAATAGTGCTCCTTATATTCCTTCTGTAATAGGTGGGGATTTAACAGAGGGAACTAGAGGTAGTGCTCGGAGAGAGGTTCTGAAAGCTCCTCAGCTGCTACAATCCGATAGAGCTATTTACGCAGAGGGTTCGTGAAGGCTATACGATCGCTTCTACAGAAAGCGCATGTGAAAGTGAATTGGTGGCTTGCACAAAAAGTTAGTTGGAAGGGCAGATGCTGGAAAGTAAGTGCAGCTGACAGTTGCTCATTCAGTGCCCAAACAATCGAAGAAAGAAGAGCGCTTTATAAGGCTACAGAATCGCTTTCCAGCCAGCTGCGATGTGTTCGTATGAGATGGTCGCTAAGAGACAAGTTACAGAAGCTGCAAAGATAAATATATGATAACCATAAATAAAGAGTTAATGTAGGAAGCTTACGATAATAAAGAAATAAGAACTATTCGGGAAGTAGTAACTATATTACGTCGTGGTTCAACGTCTACCCTTTACCACAACCATTAAGGGAACTGGGATGAAATAATGACTTCAAGACCGAGATTGAAGTTTGAAGGAAAATGAAAAGTGGGAAATAGTAAAATGTAGGGAATTATCTAAAACGTAAAAGTCTTTATAAACATACTGTTTTCATCGGCGCCAGGGAACTCGTATGTAACTCTTAGGTTTTGCGCATTGACAGCATAGATATCACAGCCTTCGGAGAGGTGTATCGTTAGACTCCAGCAAAATGTTGAAAATTCTACGGAAATAAATGAACAAGGATTTATCCAATCCACATCAGTTTATCTTTTCGATACTAGTAACCAATTCGGAATCAGTGATGACGAAAACCGTCATGATGTTGGTGGTTTCATAAACGCTATTCATATTGGACATGAGAGTTTAATATTACTACAGTATCTCATTGTCTTTTGAGGTCAGAATACCAATGATAGGGTACAGCAAGTGCTTAGAGCTCTCTAAAGCTCTCGGCGTTGATTAATCCCTGAGGGGCGCTATGCGTTCGTCTTCATTATGCATCATATGGAGGTGATTGAATAGATATCTAGCCTTTACAATGACTCGCAGAGGCCTACCGATGCATCGAGCCATTGCTGCTATCCTATCCGATAAGTCTGATACCAATTTGCGGACCCCGGAGGGATGGATTGGTGAGCCATGAGGGTGAGGATCGATTCCACGTTTGTGTTGCAGGGCGCCTCCGACCACTTCGCCACACGCAATCCTAAAGCATGGTTAAAGGTGGTTGAATGCACACCTGGCCTATACGATGACCCACGGTGGCCTATCGATATATCGAGTCACTGCTGCCATCCTGCCAAACAGAAATAATACTAATTTGTCGACCTGTTAGGAATGGAAGGGTTGGTGAGCCCTGGATACGGGATCTAACCAGTGATCACCTGCGTGCTTCAAAGCACTTCTAACCACTGGAGTACATTTCCCGTATGAAACCTAGGTGAATTTTAAATCGCCGAAGCACCTAACTCAAAAACTATTAGAGAAAGGGTATTGACAGCTAGGAAAGAAGCAGGATTAATCGTAATATGGGAATTTTGTGCATTTAAGGTGGAAAAATGGCTGCGCAAGATTTTGGACGTCTCGTTTGGGCGCCAGACGTTCAAGAGGGATACGTGCTTGGAACGCTCGACGACATAGGCTCTGAGACCATCACCGTAACAAGGAAAGACACACAGGAAAAGGTGCGTGGTGTATCCAATCATTGTTTCTAGCTTTCGCTACGAAGGTGGAAATCTAATGACTCTCTTAATAATGCTAAATGGATAAATGAGTGCTTTACATTTTCGTTTGTTAAATATTGATTTTATTGTTACAATTTCGTAGTGAAGAGTGTGGAAACCTTTACACTCTATTTATTGCTTATTAGTGCGCCGCTGATCCAGAGATGGTAAAACTACATTAACTATTATGCAACCATAATGATGCTGAGATATTTGCAAAACTCCGGACCGCAGGTGTCTGCGGTGGGGATTGAACACGTTTTTACCCTTTCCTTGGACTAATGCGTTCACCACCACACCATGCGGGTCCTTCACTTCGCCTTTCTCTCGGTTAGTTTTCTATCTACCAGTGCCGTTAGCAATCACTCGTCAAGGGAATTGATTTGGGGAGCACAAATCGGCATTGAACCGAGTTAAACCTTTACACGAGAAACTGATGCTATAGTTGAAACCACAATGTTAGCTTTTTACTTTCTGCCTACAACAATGTTTTACGGCAGAGTATCATGTGAAATACAACCACAATGATGATGAGATATTTGCAAAACTTGGGACCGCGGAGGCTGCGGTGGGGATCGAACACGCTGCCACCCTTTCTGGAGGCTAAAACATTCACCACCACACCATGCAGGTCCTTCGCTTCGTCTACCTTTCAGCTTATACTTCACGCAATACCCTGCCGTGAAAAAATGTGGTAGGCAGCAAATAAAAAGTTAAGAGCTCAACTTAGCTGGGTTCAATGTCGATTTGGGTTCCTCAGATCAATACCGCTGACGGATGGTTACTGATAATGGCACTGGTAGATAGAAAACTAGCTGAGAAACAAGTGAAGCGAAGGAGTCGCATGGTGTGATGGGTGTGATGGTGAACTCGTTAGACTCCGGAAAGGGTAACAGCGTGTTCGATCCCCACCACAGACACCTGCGGCTCGGAGTTTTGCAAATATCTCAGCATCATTGTGGTTGCATTTCACATAATACCCTGCCGTGAAAAATCATAGTAGGCAGCAAATATGAAGTTAACATTACAATAACTACATTTTCGTCGGTTCTGTCTCGTGCACCAGATTAACCAAACCCTTCTCTTCCTGTTAGGCTGGAAGAATAAAAACACTGACTTGATACATCGATATGATCGGTATGATAATATGCATCCATTTACCAATAAGGTGCTTAATGGACCCGAGTGCTTCTGACGGATTGATCAACACCGAACGTTTTACGCCTTTATTTGTTTTTAATGCAAGCTAGGAACTAAATCACTCGTGCTGAGTGCTTTTATGTCGTGAGAGCGACTGTCTTGGTATATGGGATACCAACTGTTCAAATCTGCGCATTCAATAGGTAGTTGATGCCTTAGGCATAGTAAGTCGTAAAACGAGAAGCTTAAGCAGGAAGGATTGACTGCGTGGAGATGACCACCTATTCTATGTTCTACTCGAGGTCATTCTTGCCGTTGTGTCAGCTGCGGGGCGACTTTACGGGTGTCCTGCTCAGTAAATCAGTATCTTTAGCGCGTTGCTTAAGCACATAAAACTCTCTTTGCTTCAGTTATATTGTTGTACTTTGACTTTCGTTCTGGTACTGTAAGAAGAAGGGGTTTATCTGCTTTTATAAATCTCCTTTTAATTTTTTATTCCACCTATGCATTCCTAGTAGCGTTAACTGTCTCCAGGTTTATGGCATAGTAATTAGTATTTCATCTATTTCTATTCCAGATCATTGCCAGTTATGACGAGGTGTTTCCGGCCGAAGACGATCCAAACAAGACTGTTGATGACAACTGTTAGTTGCCTCTATTCAATTCGTATTCGTAGGATTTATAGCCTCTCATTTTCTGCAATTCAAATATCCGAATTTGTTGCGGTGACGTTAATGCTCTGAGGTGGTCCAGAGGTTCGGGAACTGTCATCTATACAGTCGTAGTTCTACCTAGAGAGTTTCGTAAGCTATTTACAGCAATACTCGTGGTCGTAACGGAGAGCTTCGCGAAAAAACCTAGGGACACCAAGTCATACTAGAAAACTGAAATGGTTATAAAGGTTAGGATTATCCCAAAGCAGCACCATTTATCATTATCATCACTGTGGTCGTAGTGAAATAGAAATTACTTGAAGCTGAGCACATTCCTATACGATGGACATTTCACAGAACACATTTTTGAAATTATGACAGACGAAATTAAAAGGGAAACAGTGTGGTGTACTTCTAAGAGAAAAAAACTTGGGCAAAACGACTTCACTGGAGGAAAAATCATTGAAGCAGAGGTATTGAGTATCTTCCAAACTACTGGCAACATAACACTTTAATATCAATGGTAACTTGAATGCTTTCGTAAGCGGGTGAATACGTTAAATAGTCAACAAGTTTTTGTTAGAGAAATCTTGAGATCAAACGAGGTTGAACCTAGAATGGACCAATTTAACACTAAGGCTCTTGGATAGACTTGATAAACGACAAATACCAACGCACTGCTTCTAGTGGGGCATCGCTGCAGTGCTTCTCCATTGCTTTCGAATTCATCTACAGCACAGTTATTAGCCGTTGTCATTTTCTACAGTTGTGTTTTGTTATTTGCATACTATGTACTAAGCCTATGAGCCTGGTGATGGAGGGGTTCTTCTTAAGCAGTTCACTTTTTGCTTTCCCATCTATTGATAGATGCGTCCTCCTAACGGTTTACCACCTCATCGTGGCTGGGAGGTGTTCCTGAGTGCTGGACTGCGATGTACAGCGGGAGATTCATCCTTTGGCAGGGTTTGCAGAGCTGGGAAGGAGTCCGGCGTTTTCTTCTGGAAGCCCAACTTTGACTAAACCATTGCCAGGATCTATCACCATTCTGGTATCAAAGTAGTCTCATGGTGGCAAATCTCCTTCTGATCCACAAGGGCGGCGACTGCCTGTGGTGGTGGCGACCTAGGGAAAACTTTAGCCTGACTGAGTTCGGTGCTCCAGGAAACTACAATAGCTGGACTAGCAAAACTCCGGAAAAACGGAAATTATTCTGGGGGCTGAGTATGGGCCATCCAAGTATCCAAGTGAGTGAGTAAGATTGTTACGTGCTCGTAAAATGCCTAAAAGATTCACGGGTAAGAGCGGAACAACACAGAGTCCTTCAAATATACAAATGTAATATACAACCAATAGAAGCTGTGAAGCATAGAGTAAACATTTCACGGGCTCAAGCTGGTATTGGATGATTGGCATCATTAGTACAACGATAAAGATCTATCATGGTCGGAGATTCGCTTTCTGACCTTCAAAAATTCCACTTTTTTGTTATTTGGTGTTCGTTTCAGGTGCACTGATGCATCTCAATGAGGGAACACTACTCAACAACTGTCGACAACGCTACTTCAAGAAACAGATTTATGTTAGCATAACGTCCACATATTCACTAATGTCATTTCTATGGTTTTTAATACGATCTGGAGTTATATAGCGATATTCCAGACGTATGTTGCAAATATACTTATTTCAATTAATCCCTATGAAGAAATCGACGATCTTTATTCAACCGATACAATCAATAAATACAGAGGAAAATCGCTGGGACAAATGCCACCCCACGTCTATGCAGTTGGTGAGTTCCTTAGACAAGTCTTAAACTCCCTATCTTGCTGCACTTGCGCGGGCTGCGCTCGACGTATAAAGTGTACGTATTGATTTCTCATGAGTTAGTCGACTAGTACATAGAAAGGATTGTCTTTTGTTTTATCGATATCAGTGAACCTCGGTTACTATCACTACACAAAGTTCGACCCTATTTAGGTTAAGGCGTTCAGAAAGGAAAATAGGTCTAGCTTAATATTTTATTGCGAAAAACTATTTCCTAATGAAAGAACCTAACTCCAAGCTTCGACCCGTTGGGTGTCCATTTTACCCTCCATCGTGAAATCCATATTTTAACCATTTTTGTTGCCTTTGAATGTCTGTTGCTGTCTGTGAACTTTTCTTAACTAGTGGAAAACCTGAAGATCTAAAGAACAGCCATGGAGCATAGCATAAATTTCAGCCGATAAAGCATATCGTGATATGAGACGTAATAAGGAATCACAATCAATCATCGTATCCGGAGAATCCGGTGCTGGAAAAACAGAATCGCAGAAGGCGATCTTAAGGTGTCTTTTAGTTTTTAGCCTCCTAAGTGTTTTTCTGTCAACTCTTTCTCTTATTTCGTTTGTAACGACGACCTTCTAGATCTAACGTTAACATTTGAAAAAGATCTCGACAATATATTGATGTGTGCTTTTCAGATACCTGTGTGAAAACTGGGGAACAACTGCTGGTCCCATACAGCAACGAATTCTTGAAAGTTAGTTATGTTTTCTACTACAGTTCTTATAGGGTGCTGCAAGAGATGGCCGATGGTTATACATAGCCTTTCCATGAAGCTCTTCACATAGTTCGTAATAGCATGGTGGTAATGCTCTTCTTTCTTTTCCCATAGCATGAGTTTGGATCTTTTTGAATTCTCGTTCATGTTAGCAAAATGACTTCTTTTTCGGAGAAAATCTAATCACTGTGATTTGTTGTCACCATCTTTTCGATTCGAGTTCAAAATGGAAGAAGGTTTTGTCTCATAAGTTGTAGTGCATTTCTGTGCTTCGGCAGGGTTATCTCGATGATTAGAATGGCTACAAATATAGACGTATTATGAGATTATTTGGTTGTCGATATCCGTAGCTGGCACCTCTATAAAATCCTGGTTACGGTATAGCGAGAATGTTTTTGGCAAGTGCAGTCATTTTGGCACCGGTCTTCTTCGCCTAACTCACGACTAACGTACGCACTAATATCGTGGATGTAGAGTGGGTGGGCACAGTGAATCAGTTTTTCCGTCTGTTCAAGCAAGCAAGTTTTTCCGTGTTTTCAGACATGTTTTTTCCGCAAGCATTTTATTTGCTGTAGGTTTCTTACTCAATCGGCAACTTGTCCAACAAACGTTTTGCCAACCGTACGCTCTAGAATGAAATCCTCTAGGTTACAAAAAACCTTTTTCGGACAAATTTTTCCCTTCAAGTCGTGCGGGGTGAAGAAATATGCTTGCTCTCAGGCGGCCGATCGCTAAATAAGCTTAGTTCCAAAGTTGTTAATAAGTAAATTATGGCTGCGTTCTAACCTTTCCTCATAGGTCAACTCAATTGTTCATCTCTGGTCTTCTACATTAATCTTGCCACTTTTTAAAAAAATGATATCATGACACGATCATGATGAATGTTTGCTAACGTTCGACGACTAACCGCTTCGTGAAAACGCGCTAAAGTTGTGGCTATATGCAACTTATCCTGTCTGTAGTGAAACTTGTAGATCTGCTGTAGGTGAAAGGCACGGTAATTCACTGTTATCTTTCTTGCCTCTATATTTATGTATATGGAGATTTCTTCGCATAGAAAATTATTAGCAGATTTTACCCAATACATATTTCTTGCAAAAGAAACTTTCAGCTAACCCTATTCTTGAGGCATTCGGTAATGCAAAGACACTTCGTAACAATAACTCGAGTCGATTCGGAAAATTTGTCGAGATTCATTTTGGTAGCGACGTAAGTGATTTCCAAGCATTCCTTTTTTTAACGATATAGACTCTGTAAAGCATAATGATTCCAACTAGTTTTAATTTTGTTTTGTAGAGATATCGTGAGAAATATTCGGTTTCATCGAAGTTTTATAAGGAAGTGCAATGATATAAGCGTTTAGTCAATTTTGATCATAGGTTTTCCGGAAAGGAGGGGAGAAAGCAATGCAGGAGTACTTTCTTCTTTGAATAACAACCTCTCAATCGCTATGATGTATCCCCGGAGTTCTGTTCTTTACTGCTACTTGGATACTTGGATGGCCTGTCCTCACTGGTTACGCAGGCCTCAGCATAATCTCCGTTTTTCAGAGTTTTTCTGGTTTAACCACTGTGGTTCCTTGAATTCCCGAAATCAACTTGGCCGATGTCTATCCCAGGTCATCACCACCACAAGCAGTCGCTTCCCTTTGTGTGTCAGAGGGAAATCTGCCACCATGCGACTAGTTTGATACTAGGACGGTGGTGGATTCTAGTGGTTTAATATTAACTGCACTTCCTCATAGAAACGCCGGATTTCTTCTCAGCTTGGGAGACGCTGCAGGGATGAGGAATCCCTTGTTACCACGCAGGCAATCAGGTCTTCGTGGTTTTGAAGGAGATTTGCCACCGTGCAACTAATTTGATACCAGGACTGGTGGATCTTGGTATGGGTTTACTCTTAGCTGGGCTTCCTGTTGGAAACGCTGGTTTCCTTCTCAGCTTGGGAGATCCTGTCAGGAGGATAATTATCCCGCTGTACATTGCAGTCCGACATCCAGGAACACCTCAGCCACGGGGAAGCCGTAAACCGTTGGGAGGCTTAAAGATTTTAATCGAGAAAATCTTTACTGTTACACTCCATTATTTTGCTTTCTACTTTTAGGTTATTGTTGTATAAATCGTGAGGCTAGGAACGAGATATGTCGAAAAAATGGAAAAGCTTGTTTTAAAGGATAGAGTAGCTGGTGGTTTTGCATCGCATTACCTTTTGGAGAAATCAAGGTTATGCCACCAGACTAACGGCGAAAGAAACTACCACATTTTCTATCAGTTGATCGCTGGAGCTCCGAATGATTTGTTCAAGAAACTTCGTTTGAACCCTCCAGATAAGTTCAAGGTAGCTTTGATGGTAACTTTTCGTCCCATTTCCTCGGGAAATATTCCAGTTTTCAGTATCTGAAGTATGGAAGCACGGCGTTCTTTGCTCGACCGGGTTCTGCATCAAAAATTAGTAACGAGCGACTAAGCGGAGAGGTACCATAGAAGTTCATCACTAAATGCTCCGAAGCCAGAAATTATTTTCTAGGCATCAAAACGTGAAATTCTGACAGATGCGATCGTTGATGATGTGGCGGACTTTTCTCATCTCGTTAATGCCCTTGGTCAGGCGGGGTTCACACCGAATGAGGTATGGTATTATACCTAAAATTCAGCCAGGTACAAGTGAAATACCACCGGTATGTGTTTTGTGCTGTCCTGTCTTGAAAAATTAGTGCTTAGCTGTAGCTGAACAAGTATTGATGAACTCTCACTATTAACTGTGGAAATTTCGTTGTCTCTCTTCCACTGTTTTTCGTATAATGGCTAATCTTTACATGGAAGGCCAAATGAATAACAACGAAAGATGTTGCTTATTCCGAGATGAGAGTTATGACATGTTATGAGGATCCGAGTATCTTCTACTTTCTTCATTGTCTTTCAACAGTAGCGCCTGAAGGATTGTGTAGAAGTTCCTCTCCTCGACCACATATTCAGTGGTCATTGGGCGATATTTAGCTGGAATGACGAGATAGCCTTAGTAGAGACCGTTCGCAGATCTTCACCTCAGGAAATCGCTGGACGTTTCGCGTTGCAGTAATGATGTGTGGTTTGCGACCCATATTCCTCGAAGACGACGGCGATTCCCTCACGGTAGGGAATCCCACCACTATGGCCGATGTCTAGGTGGCGATCTAACAGCCGAATAATAGGAATTTTAGGTACATTAGATCGATTGGGATATTAGAGATGCCAGGGTAGTGCAGTAAAAACTCGTTACAGTGATATTAATTGCAAAGTCATAGTGTCTGCTATAAAGGGCAAAGATTGAAGCGTTCGGCGTTGATGAATCCCTGGGAGATGTACAATGCCTTCAACTTCATCTACTATCATAGACCGAATGCGTATTTGGTCACAATGACCTGCGGTGACCTATTAGTGTATCAATCCATTGTTTTTAACCTCCCAGACAATGTGGAAACTATTTGCTGAATCTGCAGAGATGGGAATAGAAGTAAAGCTTGATTACTCGCAGGTACAGGATCGAACCAGTGATCCCTTGTATATTGCAGGGAATAACCAGTGTGCTACAAACTTCTTTGTAGTGTGTACCTGTACAAAATGGGCTAAATTAATATGAGCTTCATTGAAACTTGTATTCTTAAGGAGACACACCAGGAGAATAAAGACGTCGTAGTTCTGGCATTGAGTGAATAAATGATTTTTGTCCTTTTAATTTCCAGATCAACGATATATGGCGTGTCGTGGCTGGTGTGTTGCATCTAGGCAATATCGAATTTATAAGTAGCGTGAATGATAGCAGAGGTTAGTTGAGTGGCACCGCTTTCTTCTAGTAACCAAAAAATTAAAAATTATGATGTTAGCGAAGTAAACCAATTTGTAGCATCCAGCGTCACGTTGGGTTTACTACTTTGCTAAGCAGTAAATACTGATTTGGACTTTATGTGATGAGTTTGTTACTAAATAAGCAATTATGGAGGAACAATGGATTTTGTCGGCCTAGACTGGGTTCCAAATCGGTGTTTGTGTCCGCATAATTGGCGCCACATTACACTGGGGTGTGCCAATCATTACAGATTTGATACAACCAAAAGCGGCCACTTTATGCAACATAACCAAAAATAGCACTGCTGAGTTGTGGTATTAGTTATGAGGCTTTTTGCTTTCAGATGGCTGTATAGTGGAGCCGAGTAGTGAGACAGCGTTGATGATTGCCGCCGATCTACTCGGATTGGAAGTGCCTGAATTGAAGATGGGGCTCGTCTCGAGAATTATGCAGGCAACAAAGGGCGGAGTGAAAGGCACACTTATCAGGTTGTCGATTTTCAGCGATAGGCGGTCATCACTGAACTTCAAGAATAATTGCTATTGTGTAAAACTACAAACTTAAAGTGGCAGTGATCGATAGAACTACCTGAGAGACAGGCAAAACGAAGGACCCGCATAGTATGGTGGTGAACGCGTTACTCTCCGGAAAGGAGAATAGCGTGTCCGTTCCCCACCGAAGACACCTGCAGTCCGGAGTTTTGCAAATGTCTCAGCATCATTGTGGTTGTTTCACAAATAATACCCTGCCGTGAAAACTTGTAAAAGGCAGTAAAAAGTGAACATCGTGAATTACAAACTTAATTGCAAATTAATTAAACAGAAATGACACCTGTAAGTATTTTAGCGTTTGGTTCATAAGTTGAGAGCTTAGGAGGCATAAGAGTTTCTGTTCGAAAATAAGATCTTTTGAATTTTTACTCGTCAATCGAACCTTTCCATCGGTTTCAAGCACATTGTTTAAACATGGTAATTGGAAATAGTTAGATCTGTCTACCTTTTATGGATTCTCATCTTGTATTCTATCATTTATGAATTTTTAGCGTAATTAAATTCACAGATGAGGTGCCGTGAAAATGTGCTTACAGTTTTTAAATGTGAATAAATGATGAAATTATCAGTAGACAGTTGTGGTTTCTGCTTCTACTAAATTTCTTGAGAAAACTAGAAGAAAAGTGGCCTGAACATCTCCAACGTTACTCTGTAGAGACAGGCGATAGACCCGCGTGGTGTGTTGGTGAAAGCGTTAGCCCCCGGAAAGGGTAATAGTGCGTTCGTTCCCCAACGCAGACACCTGCGGTTCGGAGTTTTGCAAATATCTCAGCGTTGTGATTGTATTTCGCATAATATCCTGCCGTAAAAATTGTAGCAGGCAGGAAATAAAAAGTAAACATTACTCTGTATTGCATTTGTCAGCTTCATGTACTTCACCGGCTTTTATTTATCGCTTCTCATTTCATGACTATCTTTAGAATTTTTCCGAAATCTTCAACGAAGCATGAGAGAAATGCATTTCTTGGGACCGCCGATTTCTTTTTACATTAGTTGACGAAATTGTCAAAAATTACGAAAAACGCTTCACATGTCAGCAAAAGAGTCAACTAATTCCAAGTGAGGACCTACCAGGAGGAGTTAATGCAGAGGATTCTTCAATACTACGTTTGAGCAGTACAAGAGCTTCAGGGTTCCACTCAAATCACACGAATCTGCAGCTGGACGAGATGCGCTGGCCAAGGCGTTGTATTCGCGTCTTTTCGATTGGCTCGTAATCAGAATCAACAAATCCATACCGTTTGAGGAAAGCATCAACTATATCGGAGTGCTTGATATAGCCGGATTCGGTAAGATTCTGAGCTCGGACTATGACGGGTCGGTGATGATATGAACGATTCAGTGCTTTTAATTTTTATGTGCACTGTATAGTTGAACAGATAAAAATATACATGGTTAACTTTCAGAGTTCTTCGAAGTGAACTCATTTGAGCAATTCTGCATCAATTACTGTAACGAAAAACTACAACATTTCTTCAATGAGCGGATTCTAAAGCAAGAGCAAGAGCTTTACGCTAAAGAAGGATTGAATGTGCCACTGATTGAATATTCCGATAATCACGACTGCATTGGTGAGGGTAGATGCAGCTTCATATTTTTCTCTAATCCAAACTTTTATTGTTAACTTCAATTCCTCCATCTGACCGTTACTTTGCTGGCTGAGAAATTTTGTATCTTTAAGAGACCTGAGGCAGCGTACCAGGCGTTCCCAGTTTGTCACCGTATTTAGTCACAGTCTTTGCGAATTGAATGAAATTTTGCCGCATAAAGACCAATTTCTTCCTAGAACTTAATGGTTCCTCGCATATATTTACTCATAACGTTGACACCTAATGGTGCTGTTGAGGTCCTTCTGAGTAGTCCTGTCTAAGGATGTCACAAATCCATATGCTCCAGATGACAAATCCAGATCATGGAGATATGGCATTCAACATGAAGAAGCATTAACTCGCGATGATTCTGCAGTAAAATGGAGAGAAGTGAAGGGAGAGCAACAGAAGAAGATCTTTTAAATATTATTGTTTGACCGAAGCGACAAACAATAACCTTTTGAAAATATAAGAATTCTAGACGTCGCCGTTCTCCAAGAATGTGTTTGATCATGAGTACAATAGGAGGATGCTCTAGAAATTGTATTTAACCCATTATTAAACTGAAATAAGTGAGCTGAAAAAATATGCCCTCATTTCTGTTAAAATCTTATCATTATTAGTCCTTACTTAGTAAGAATGGTAACCTTAATTTGGAGGAGAAAGGGCTACGTCTTATTTTTCTACCCCCCCCCCCACTAACACCAGTATTTCTTGAGTCATATTTCTTCCTAGTTATCTTTAAGGAAAGGGCGCATGTAGCGTAGTGGGCAGAAACGCCCTGCAATACACACGTGATCGATTACCCCGGCCTAGAGTCGGTAAATTGGTACCAGACTTCTCTGCTAGGGTAGCAGCACTGGTTCGATACATCGGTACTCCACAGCGAGTCCTTTTAAAGGCCAGATGTGCATTTAACCACCTCTAGTGATGCTTAATGAGGTTGAATATAAGGCACTTCCCTGAAGGATTGATCAACGCCGAGAGCTCTATCCTTTTTTTAAATCACATTTAGAGGAGCCGTAATGCTTAGCTTCGAAGTTTTTCAGAACTTTTCGAGAAGAAATCATGTGGCCTGCTTGATCTGCTTGACGAGGAGGCTCGTCTGCCACGGCCAAATCCTCAGCATTACACAATATCCGCTTACACTGCCAACAAAGGACATTTTCGACTTGAGGTCAGTTTGAATAGTATCTCATTATTTAAGAACCGCCTTAGCATTGATGGCATCCATGTTCATTCCGAACATCATTGCTTTTCCTGTACTCAAATTCTACCAAAGAAGCAGCATACGGTCCAAAGCCTAGTGTAAACTTAAACCAACGATAATATGTTGGTACAGTGGATTTGGAGTGTATAGAACTGTTGTTGCACTATGTTTAACTTTTAATTACTGTCTATTCCTTCTCTATAGAAGGATAAAAGGATAAAAAGTGTAAAGCTCTCGACATTGGTCAATCTCTGAGGGAAACGCCGTGCATTCGATTTCATTGAGCCTCATTGTAGGCGATTGAATGTATATCTGGCCTATACAATAACTCAAGGTGACCTGCATATGTATCCAGTCAGTGCTGCTATCCTTTCAGACAAGTCTGGTATCAGTCTGCGCACCCCGGAGAGAGGAGGGCTTATTGGGGCTGGGGCACAGTACCGATCCAATGTGTATCACAGAGCGCTTCCAATCGTTGTGGTACATGCGGCCTTTTATGGCAGTGTCATATGTGAAATATCACCAAATAGATGCTGAGTTATGTGCAAAATTCGGATTCTAAAGCGGAGCTTTGAACCCGCTATCACCCCTTTCCAGGGGTTCGCGTGCTATACACGATACCAGCCGAGGCGCATGTTATGAAAAAATGAGGCAGTAAATGAAATTGTGATTTCGACTTCAGGTTCAGTTTAGCTGGATTCAATGCCGATCTATTCTTCCCAGATTATTCCCGTTTACGGGTGCTTGCTGGTGGCATCGTAACGCTGAAAAACTGACTGAGAGAAAGGCAAGGCAAGCGCCTCGGTTGCTGTAGTGGATAACACTAAATTCATCAGAAAGCGTAATCATAGATCCGAAACCGGATTGAAATTCCGGGTTTTTCTCATATTTCAACAATACTTGTGGTTAATTATAGTTGCACTATAGTGACCAATCAGTTTCTTTTACATTTTCTACTTCTTTGATCAGTATTTGTGATTTTATCCAAGACGATGACGTTATGAAAAATCGAAAAGTAAGAGGCACTGAAGAATATGGTAGTATTGTTAAATTCTCCTTTACAGACACCACGACGTTCTCGCCTACGTCAGCACCGGGATCTTCGAGAGGACGAGGCGTTTCTCGTGCGTCACTACGCCGGAACTGTCTGCTACCAAACTGCGCAGTTCCTCGATAAAAACAACGACACACTACAGAACTCTCTCGAATTTCTTGTAGAGCAGAGCAGGTTTGACATGCGAATCCTCGGCTTGCTTTCGATAACAATGCGGCAGCTATACTGTCGTATTGTCAGTGCTTCATCTATTCAATGGCAGCACTTCGGCAGGTGATGCGATCTGCGATGAGAAAAACGGGTATATTCACTATGTGACATTCTTCACGTAGTATAATTTTTCGTCTACTGCCTATTATTTCTTCACGGCAGGGTATAAATACAGTCGCTATGATGCTGAGATATTTGCAAAACTTGGACCACGGGCCGGATCTGCACCCGACATTACCCTTTCCGTGTGTTACCCACTGCACCGCTGAGGAACTTTCTTTGCCTTGTGGGTGATTGCTGGTGGCACCGTTAGGGTCAAAAACTGGCTGAGAAAAACGCAAAGCAAGGGCATCGGTAGTACAGTGGGTAACACATGATTCGCCATAGAAGGTAGTCGCGGGTTAGAATCGGGTCTGGCTTAGTTTTGCAAATATATCGGCATGATAGTGGTTATATTCTTCAAATACTTTCATTTTCTTCAAATTCACATTTGCCAACAAAAAAGTCAGTCTGATGGCAAATGATGCTTTAATGAAATTCACAGAAAAATCCAGTGCTTACGATTTGCATGAGAAAATTTGCCATTTCTTGTCATTAAATCGAATTGGGATACTTCGAGTCTTATTGCCTTCTATTGAATTTTGCCAATAAGACTAATTCACTAATTCATCTGTATAGCTTCACTTGAATACTTGAAATATTTCACGTTTAAATTGCTTCTAGAACAGAGCACGACCATTCAGTGATTTGACGGGATCATGGCGATAGTAGGATTTCCGTGATAGTATTGTACTTCCTTTCAGCGGTTTTCATTTCTAGACTAGTAAAACCATTTATAAAGCATGGGTAATCGAAGCGTTATGTTGCTACTCTTCTCCGACTTGGCAAAACTTGACACTACAACTGACCCACGTTGAGAATCACTCCCAGGGGAACGCCTTGGCACTATTGATGGTTGTTCTCGGGGTCTGTCCTCCGTTTTGCATATAATTCGATCGAGTGTCTTTAACGTCTATCCTTCATCTTCTCTTCTTATTGCACCACAACGGCCATTTCCATAAAGAACAAGTCTTGCTATTGATAAGTAGTTTACTTTATCACGAAGATGTAGCGTTTCATAATCATTTGGTCTAAGAAGAGAAGTGTGATATTGAGGAATTCATGGTTATCTCTAAAAAGTTTCAAACACTCCCGGCACCTCAGAGCTTTACAAATTGTCGAAGTGTTCACCTAAGTTTCGATAAAATCCACATAATGAGAAATGGCTGTTCATAGAAACATTGAGTTCGATAACCTGTAGTACTGTTTCTTAGTTAGTTCTTTCTTCTAAAGGCCTTTAAATGATTCCTGTTTCTCGTTCTCAGTTTGGATTATCTAGGTATTTTTGTATCTTCATTGAATAGTTTGGTTATGCAGTTGGTGTAATTTCTTTTCGTGTTTATTGTTCAGTTGAAATTACCTTCGAATGTCATTTCCGGAATCCGTTTTCAGTTCTCAGCTTACTATCTGAGACTGGTTTAATGCCCCAGACATTTACATGTCTTAATATCTTTATGATCAGCAACTCGTTTATCAGTGTTCCTTGAAGATCATATATCCACCAAGAATTGAATGATCCATCAAATAACTTGCTAGCAGACTAGCAATATAATCCTTAAAATGCTTTGAAAGAGTAGTTTTTGAACTGGGTTTTGCGGAGAAAGTACGATTTTATAGTAAAAATTGTTGTAAAGAAGCTAGGTTAGAGCTAAGATTCGCAAAGCGGGGTTTACGACTGCGACTTTTCTGCGTAACACCGAAAGAACTTTTGCGCCCGCCTTTACTACTACATTTGAAAGAAAATGAAACGAAGGCAACCGGAAACGGTTCAGGGACACCTAAATTTGACATGTATATAAGTCGACAAGCTGATTCTTACAAACGATAGTTTTCAGTGTCAAGTTTATACGTGAACTCTTCGACGGTGGACGTCATGGTGAAGTGGGACCAACCCCAGGACGCCGATCGGGTGGCGGCCGTCTACAGGCCAGCACTGTAGGAGGGAAATTCCGCGCTCAACTCACTGTGCTGCTAGATAAACTAAGGGATACGGTAATTACTTTTAGTAATGTACCCAATCCATAACGCCCTATCCTTTTTTTTAGTGACGGTGATTTCTCAATAACTAAAGTACTTTAAGAGTTCGGAATATTTCAGAATACTTAAAGATATTGGAAGCGAAATTTGGATTTATAAAGTTTGTGACGCAGACGCAACTACTGCAAACATTGTGGAAATCAAATGTCTCTGGACGAAATCTCGTTTGTTCAATCGCTTTCATGTTCGAAACACAATCTTAACTGAAAAAAAATGAAGAACGTGTTTCTTGGGCTCCAGAAACCAAATTATTGCCTTTCTAGCATAAGAAAACTTGTGTCTGGTCGGCAAAATTCCATGGATTCTACTGGTTTTTATGTTTACCGCAATACCGTGGGACATGTTCGCTTTGTTTTTAAAGGGTTGATAAGTCGTTTGATACTTGATACTTGAATGGTTCGTGCTCATTGGTTGTGCGGTCCTCAGCATAATCTCCACTTTTTCGGAGATTTGCTGGTTAGGCCATTGTGGTTCCCTGGAATCCCGAGGTCAGCCTGGCGAAAGTTTGCCCCAGGTCTTCACTACCACAGACGGTCGCAGCCTTTATGGATCAGAGGGAGATTTGCCACCATGCGACTAGTTCGATGGCAGGACGGTGGTAGTTCCTGGTATTGGTTAACTCTTATCTAGGCTTCCCGATGGAAATGCAGACTCCGTCTCAGCTTGGGAGACCTTGTCAAGGGATGAATTCCCCCGCTGTACATCGCAGCCCGACACCCAAGAGCACCTCTTAGCCATGATGAGGCAGTCAACCGTTGGGAGGGTTGATAAATTATGATAAAAAACATCAATTTATGCGACATATATGAGTGATATGATCGTTAGCTTAAGAACAATTGAAAGGCGAAATAAATAGGGCGTAAATAAACTTCTTTGGGCTGTACATCACTAATTTCGTAAGGCGCTTATTTATCGAACTAGAGGAGGTGTGGAATTATCAATTCCAAAAAGGTGCTCTTCTCTGTGGCTGGGTGAAACTCAAAAGGTGAATGAGTTGCTCTCTCTGATACGAGCTAGGACTTACGGGCTTCACACTGCGTTCGATTCTACTTTTCTGGAAAGAAGAAGAATAGTGCGCCATTAACACCATGGTCGACATGCATTGAGCACAATGCCATTGTTGCAAATATAGTAGATACCTTATTTTTAAGCGACATATCTCAACTTTTATTGAACAATATTAAATTAAGTAAAAACGCTTGAAATTTGTAGATTTCTGCGAACCAGTCAAAAGTTCTCTTTCTGCCAAGGTGAATTGTTGATGTTGATTTTCTGGAGCCCAGTGAACAGAGTTTTAACCTTTTTCTTCTGTCAACGTTCGCACTTAAAAACGGTCAAACGTACAAGCGAGATTTCGTCAAGCTGTACACGATGCTGTTTGCGCTAGTATTAGTGTTTGCGGATACCGTGCCTGGATTGAAAATATTACCAATTCCAACTTCGCTTCCAATTTTTTGAGGACCGTTGTATTAAACACTTTCCAAGTTTGAGGAAAATTTTCGAAATACCACAAATACCCTACCTTTTTCCGATGTAGTCAAATCTCTTCTATGTGTCTGTCTAGTTTTGAACTCCTGAACTATGTATTCGTCGAGGAATGATCATCGGTTTTCGAAAGATCAGCATACGACCTTACGTGTTAACAGTGACTACCTATAAGTGGTAACAATAGTAGTAATGGTTATATCTGAATGAATACTAATGGCTAAAATATAGTGATTATGAAAGGAATACCACTGTCGTTGTTGATGATGTCCATGAGATCTATGGTTGTGTGCTGTAGGGTACGCATTTCGTTCGGTGCGTGAAGCCGAACTCTTCGATGAGTGCCGGTGTGTGTGACGGGGCGGCGATCTTGTCACAACTGAAATGCGCCGGTATGACAAGTGTATTGAAATTGATGAAAAAGGGATTCCCGTCCAGGTACGCCGACTTGCCCTAGACATATTGTAGGTAAAATTCATGTTGTCAAATCGTTTCTGGCAGGTTCAGCCCGGTATTCTCACAATGGTTTTATCGTTAAGTAGATGATCTTGACACCAAAATAATTGGTCACAAATAGGCCCACGTGAAGAAACTAGGATTGTCTCTTTCATGAAGGATAGTTGCAGTACTGTGGAGTAGCAGAATTATTCACGACTTTGTCTTCTAATTTTGTTATCTCTTCTATAATTTTTGGCACAGTTTGGAAAGCTGCCGAACTGATCAGTTCTTAGTGATGGGTACTACAATATACTTACGTGGTTTCTACACAGATTTCATGGCTTTAAATATTCTTTGGGACATTTATAATGCGTGTACTACGTCTAAGTCTTTCAACTGCTTCAGTATTTGTGCTGGATAATCTGTTTAGTCATCTTTGCCATCTATCTATAATTAAGGACATCATTTGCGGATCTCTATGAAATGTATCGTTGTCAGTTACCGCCTGACTTGGCTCGTCTGGATCCGCGTCTTTTCTGTAAGGTCAGTTCTACTCCATTGTGAGAGGTGCAATATCTTCTCGTCATCTCCAGTCTTATGTATTCGACCAACTTGATACCCCTTCAAAAGATAAAGTACTTCGGCATATCACGTATGGCTCATACTCCGAGCTTCTTTTTTCCAGTGAACGTTGCTGGTTCTTTTGCTTTCAAGTTTTCTATGTTCACTTGAAACCACCTGCCCTTTTTCGCTTATTCTTTTATTTTGATCGAGGCTTTCATATTGTAGTGCTTGTTCCGTGCCCTCGGCCTTAACAATATCGACTACAAATTCGGACAGACGAAGGTGTTCTTCAAACCTGGGAAATTTGCTGAATTTGACCAGGTCGCTTCGGAAATTTATTGCTTACTTTCGTCAACTTTTACTTTTACTTCAGCATTTTTCCACGTTTCTCTTCATTTTTTTTTCCGTTATTTCAGTTACTTCGTCGAGATCCGGCTCATGTAAAGGTACTGATCGACAAAGTTAGATCGTGGCTGCTAAAGACCCGATGGAGAAAAGCTCAGTATGGCGCATGGAGTGTTATTAAGCGTAAGTTTGCCGAATTTAACCTTCGTACTCTATCTTCTTGGATTCAGAGAAGAACTAAGAGTGAAATCAATATTTTTCATTTTTTTTAACTTCTCATCTCTTCACCCAGCGCGTTTCAGTCCATAATCATCTTCTTGTTAACTTCCGGAGAATCCTACGTGTTTAGGCTTAACAAAGGAGGAATAGATAACAATTACTTCATGCTAATAAAATTATATCCTGCAAACTTCTAAGATATCTATCACAGTTTGTTTACTCGAGTTGTTTTTAAGCTTTTCCTCCTGAGCTCTTCTCTTTACTTTGAGTTTTTAAGACTATCATTGGTATATTCAATCACTACTACTATCGATCTTCTTCGTATACGCCGTAGGAAAGCATCAGGGTTTATTAGTGTAGGCGGTCCGAAGAAAAACAAACACATCTCGGACATCGAAGCGCTCTTGGATATTTCCTGCAAATCGTCGTCGCTAAAGTGAATTTGCTTTCCTCTGTGTGTTTCTCAAAGCGAATTCCGCCTCTCTTATCGATGAGCGGAAGCCTTACGATGGTCTTTAGTTCTTTTTTTTTAGCCTCTCCGGCATCTATTTTATGTAGTATGCTCAGATCCTTCACAAAACAAGCGCAAATGCAGTTTTGGGACAGATTATTTAGACTGTAAGAGAAGAAACAAGATTACCTCTTGACAATGGACTTTTCTTGTTTTTCTTTTGGATGCCTTATTTTTTCTCGCTTGATGTTCGCTTTTCCTTTAATAGCTTGCCATATAGTCTGAACTAATGTTTTCTGAAAAACTGCCAAGCTACATTGTAGGGAGATCATCTTCGATAACGTCGATTAAGAAAGGAAGTTCGATGTGTCCATAGAGAAAGCAGCTAATCCGAGCTCAGATCATGGTCAGTGCTAGGAATCGACACCCTTCCTGTCGTTCTTAAGGGCTGCCAAGCACCTATGGTGCCCATGAGGCGATTTTCTGACACCGTAATGTGGAAATTATGAGGCAAAATTCTCGCCCAACCAACACAGTTCCCAGACAGATGGAAATCATGTTGGGGACCAGCACGATCCTTCGTGATAATGGACCATCAAGGTATCCAAGAAGTTTGTTATCACAGCGCGATAATTTTCTATCTCGCTTTACTCTTGCGCCAACATCTCGTCTTCTTCCCTTAATGACGAATACATATGGAAATTTAGAGATTTTAGGAAAACGCTATGCATATTTGCTTTGCCGTCGGTAACATTGTTTATAATAGCTTGTGGTTGCTCTACGGGGCATTGGCGTTCTGCGCTGGAGTAAACTGGATTTTGATTCATTGAACTTCAAACTTTGTGTAGGTTAAACCTTTATGTGAAGAATTGTTCAATAAAAAACTCCATGCTTAGATGCAGTAGCATAAATAGGAAATCTCCATGGTTAGTTGTAGTTTTAGAAGACGGCGGGGATCCTTATACAATGTTTATTATGGTCAGCTCTGTCGCTTTATGATAAAATTACACCTTAACACAAAAGTTACCACATACATTGATTTCAATCCATGTACTTTTCGAATTTTCAAGAAAATTATTTAATGTGCTCTTGTCCATCGTAGATTTTATGCAGCACATGGTCTGTGAGAGGCTATTCGCTACACTTAATATTTTGTGAAACGTCTTTTTCGGACGAGATTTCCACTGCACACCGTGAACCGCGAAAAATTAGACGTGGCCTTAAGCGATCACCGTGTGCAATTAAGCGTAGTCGCGTAGGCGTTCATGAACAAAGTGACAAAAATTTCTGTTGAGATTGTTCACTGAACTCAGTGCCATTTTGCTGATATTGATGTTAAATATTATCTAAGAATATATGCGGTTCATGTAGGAAATCCCAGGGTCGACTTTTTTTAAAACCTCGGTATCGATCAATAGTCCACTACTTTTCTTGATGATCACACACGAGCTTGTGATTACTGCATTTATTAACTCACAATAGTTGATGTTTCGATGGTTTCGCTTTCTTCAGAGCCTGGAAAGGTCAAATTGGCACGCAATCTGCTCAGCCAAAGACTCATAGCCTCAGCAGATAAAACTTTATACATAATTTTTCATTCGCATAATAAATATCTTTTTTTAAATACTCGCCGTCCTGTTCCTTGTAAGGCTTTCAGTTATTCGGTGTAGACCAGCCGCACAGATTATTACATGGGCGAAGAATTTGCCTGGCTGAGGTCGTAAACGTGTAAAAAAATTAACCCATCCGAAAACGGTTAGATCACCAAGGTAGCAAAAATACACTGCTCCATTACCTCTCCTCTCACTCCTCACACACACACACACAGGAAGTGTGCTTATAAGAAACATGTTTGGAACAGCCACCAGTGGGTGCACAGGAAGAGAGCAAAAAAGAGTACATTAAATTGGAGCTACAAATAGCCATTTCCTATGGCTGCGAAACTGTAACTCCTCGGGATAGGTTTAGAGGAAGAACCATGTTTTCAAAGGACATGTCCAGCGAGAATGAGGTCCCATTTGTCCTGTCTTTCATTTCAAATGAAATATGGCCATAAAACGCTGATTAAAAAGGGCGAGTCTAAAGAACACTCTCGGACTTCAGCTATTTCGTAACTGCCTGTGACTGACTATACACGACGCAAAATTACGTGCTCTAACGGTAGAAAAGGTGATTGATCGGGTAGAACACTGCGTGTTCGTATAAAAGAACCTCCAGTCGGTAAATTTAAATCGAAACCAAATACTCCACTAGGTATACAAGGGTCAAGAGATATTGAGATAAAGCTTTTGGAGTACAACTCACTATACTGGCACAGGAATCGAAAACATCAGCGCATAAAACTCTTGAAGCGTTTTGGATAAATTCCAAAAATCCAAAATTGAACCTCGAAGAGGAGAGTCTTATGATCACGTCTGACCTAGAGCCATGCCTCAAGCTGATTCCTTGCCATCACCCAGGCATGTTTCTCTCCCATGTAACACTCCATGCGATTGCTCTCCACCAAAAAACTGGAGGTCTTACAATGAACAAACCGATGAGTGTTTAAAAGGAGCTGTTTATTATGCGAACAATAACTTATGCCTTAAGTTTTATCCGCTGAGGTTATGAAAGCTGAGTAGATTGGGCGCCGATTTGACCTCTCCAGGCTCAGAAGATGGTGAAATCGCCGAGGCATGAGCTATTGTGAATTAATAAATGCTGTAATAACAACATCGTCTACGTTTATCGAGAAAACAGTGAAATGCGGTCTACGTTGCTCATACGCTACTCCTCGGTTAAGAATTTCTTGAAGAAATTTTCATTAGAGCGGTAGGATTAAGGCTAAATGTATTCATATAACACAAGCCTACTAAAAGACTTCTTCGATACTGGTAGCACTAACAACTTCACCCAACCAAATTGTAGTATTTGATTGGTTGACGAGAGCTCAGGTTCATTCCTTTTTATTTACTACCGTCAATGATCGATAGCCACCTTGAAGGAAACTAGTGCATTTAACGAGTCTTTTATGTTCTCCTTCTTGAAATTCTGCTGGAAGTCTCACGATTCTCTTTCTAAACCTAGTCTGATTTTGCTGTTTACAGTTTGTCTCTACAAATAATTCCTGTTGCGCTATCCACATTATTCACATTTATTGCTATTCATGTTTTTATATGACGTATCATTCCATTCATCAGGTCCAAAGAGCGCGTGTGGCACAGTGGTCCGAGGCACCCTGCAACACGTGGAATCGATCTCCGCACCCGTGGCCCACCAAGCCTTCCGTCTCTCCGGGGTCGGCGAATTGGTACTGGACTTGTCTGGGAGGATAGCAGCGCTGACTCAACACATCGACACGCCATCGCGAGTCATTGTAAAGGCCAGGTATTCATTCAATCACCTCCAAACGATGCTTAATGAAGTCCAACGCATGGCGCATCCCTCAGAGATTGATCAACGCCGAGAGCTTTTTCCTTCATCCTTTATGATTCTATTCGAAGATTGGAGGTGGTTGAATGCATCTCTTGCCTTTATAATGACTCGCGGTGTACCGAGCCAGTGATGTTATTCTTCCAGACAAGTCTGGTACCGATTTGCCAACCCCGGAGGAATGGAAGGCTTGGTGAGCCACGGGTGTGAGGATCGATTTCATGTGTGTGTTGCAGGGCGCCTTCGACCACTGCGCTACACGCGCCACAAAAATAAGCAGCAAAGTGGCAATGACGACAATGAGCGGTAAAGTCGGTGTTATTGAGTAGAGTTTTCGAACCAGAGATTAATTGAGCACCATTGGCACTTTATTGCGATTGGCTGTACAGCGTATAGTGTTAAAAAACCACTCTTTTGCAAGAGCTTTTCTATTTATGGATGTCTACTAACTTCATTAATATTTATTTTCTGCGATAGATCGGAACTGAAATAAGTTGGACATCTTTTTGCTGTGATAAATGAACTCTACGACAATTGTCAGTTACTATAGTCTAAACTATTCCATTGTAGTTTACTAGCACCGAGGTTGAAGGTTTATATGTGATATACAGAATGGGTCTTATCTCACCAGCACGATTGCACATACCGAAAAGCAGTTCGTGGTTTATATCTGCAATTCCAACTAGAACTAAATCGATGCTCGCAAGTGCTATCGTTCTGATACAAAAGAAGAACTCAAGTTAAAGTGGGGTCACAAATATCTCTCTGATCCACAAGCGAACGCGTTGACGTCTGCAGACGGGACTTCTCTAAGGATCAGCTAGTTGGATACCTCCGATTAGCCTTTGTTTAGAAAAGGGTACTGGGGTTATTACAGTGAGGAGCGACAACGCAGCGCAAAAATTCTTATCGAAGCTGTTGAGTATCCAGAAAAGGCTGAAAATATTAAACTTTCTGTTTTCAGTAATCTCAATGAAATGGACTGACATGTTTATGTGATGATAGAAGGCCTGTTTAATTAGCCAGCAGCTCTTTCTTTCTTGACGGATCTGACACCGGCAGGTTTCTAGTTGCCGTTTGCTTCTTGACGATAACAATGATTAATGCCAGCAATAAATATGGAGCACAAGAAGACCAGTGGTTCGAGATGCTATTACATAATACACGCATGTTTGGTCGGTGCCGCGAACTGGCGCTGGACCAACAAAGCTCCAATAGTTTTCAGTTTGCAACCAGATCTCTCTGCATGAACTCCCCACGATCTATAAAGGCTAGGGACTGCCTTTGCTGAAAGCCTTGAAACTTGATGGAATGAATAGTATGATGGGATCTGCACAATTTATGAAGTCGGATTATAAAAACAAACATTTCAGTATCAACTGTGATGACAGTGGTGATAATAATAGAGTAGTCCATGTTTATCTAATCTTGAAGGTTCCTTTGTATAAGACAATATTCAAAAGGGAGAACTCTACAGTACTTTAATTAGTCTTCTCATTCATTGCCCTTTGCCTTGTAACTAACATCAGGGAATGTTTGTTGCGTATTTCTTACCCGGTTTCCTTGTTTTGGAGCCAT